TTATGGGACTCTGGTTGAATGTAGGCCAGACTTGCAGGAGGAAGGGAGTAAAGAGACAACTGTTGTGGTCCGGCAGTAGCCTGTGGAGCTGGCAGCAGTGCTGGACAGTGAGGAGGCTGGAGAGGAACTTGGGCCAGTCCTGGAGTCTGGGGAAGGCCCAGACGAGGGCTCTGTGTCGGAGACAGAGATGGGACCAGGGCCATCTGGGAGTTATGTGTGGACTCCGGAGCCTCCAGAGTCGGACAGCAGAGAGGCAGAGGAACAGGAGGAGCCTGTCCCTAGTGTGTGCATGTGCAGAGCTGCCAGAAGGCAAGAACAGTTAAAAAAAAAGAGATGACTCAAGAGTAAGGCCTGGAAATGATTGGCCCCTCCCATAAGACTTAAAAGAGGAGCAAAAACATGTGGGCACTTTGCAGGAAAGCAACATTGTTAATTCTGTTCCCAGTCGGTATCTCTGTTTGATTCTGGACTCCGTGTGGCTTTGCCAAGTAGGTCTGTGGCAGCGTGTCAAGGGAGATAAAGGTTGGTGATTATCCCGAAGGACTTCTCCCCAAGGACTTTTTGCAACTAATTGGGATTGAATGAACGTTATTCACAGCTGTTGCAATAAAAGAGGTTTTTGGGACTACTCGTGTGCTTTAATGACTCAGGAGGCCTGGGTCACAACAATAACCTTGGAATGTCTGATATGTAGAAAAAGACAAAAGTTGGAACTCCACCACCACCACCACCAGTTTACAGGATATATATAATAGTTATGCAGATAGGTTAGGCAGATAAGCACTAGGGATGACATGATAGCATTCAATATTCCAATATTTGAGAGACTGTCAGAAAGAAGAGGTCCTCTCCTCCAAAGCTGCTGAGGGTAAGACAAGACGTAAATGGAAACTTATCAAAGGGAGATCCAAATAATGAGAAATTTCCTGACAGTGAGAACAATTAGTGGAATGGCTTGCTTTCAGAAGTTGTGGGTCTCCTTCACTGGAGGTTTACAAGAAGAGGTCGGGCAATGATTTGTCCAGAATTTTATAGGGTCTTGTTCTTGGGCAGAGGGTTGAAGATGAAGATCTTTGAGGTCCCTTCCAACTGTGTTATTATATGTACTGTATTTTATAAGTGTTTTAGTATGTCAAGATTTCTGCCTGTAGAGAGGGGCAGAGGTGGGTTTCTGCAGGTTCTGACCAGTTCTGGAGAACCGGTAGTGGAAATTTTGAATCGTTCGGAGAACCGGTAGTAAAAATGCTGACTGTCCCCTTCCCCATCTATTCTCTGCCTCCCAAGTCCCAGTTGATCGGGAGGAAATGGGGATTTTGCAGTAACCTCCCCCTGGAGTGGGGAGGGAATGGAGATTTTACAGTATCCTTCCCCTGGAGTGGAGAGGGAATGGAGATTTTACAATATCCTTCCCCTGCCACACCCACCAAACCATGCCCAACAAGCCATGCCACGCCCAACAAGCCACGCCCATAGAACCGGTAGTAAAAAAATTTCAAACCCACCACTGGTCTGTAGGTGAGCAAAGGGATCTTGTCAAATTTGCAGATGATACTAAATCAAATGGAACACTAAAAGATTTGGAACTGCCTCAGTAGGAAAAAGCAGGGAGCTAATAACAGTAATTGTTGACATGTAGTTGAAGCAAATGCAGTTTTTCATTTATGAAAAATAAATGTGCAGGTTGAGGCTGGGCTGGTTTGGATTTTATGATATTATGAAAATTATAGTTGATCATAAACTGCATATGGGTCAGCATTGTGACATTGTTACTGCCCATCTCCCGCCCACCTCCCAAAAGTAAATGCAATCCAGAAGGCAAAATCAATAGAAATAATTTCCAAAGCACAAGAAATAGTTGTTTGATTTCATTTTGCCTCAGTCAGAGAAGTCCCATGTCCTGCCTTTTTTTTTTTTTTTTTTTTTGTGACTCCAGAAAACGGAACACAAAATAAAGTTGAATAATGAAAATTCCAGTTGACTGTTAGCAAAACTAATATTGAATGGTGGAAATAATTACCCAGTGAAATAATGACCTCTCCTTCACTGGGTATGTTCATGCAGAGCTGGGCAATCTTCTGTTAGGGATCCTTTAAACCAGGGGTCACCAACTTTCCGGACCTCAGAGACCACTAAATTCATAATTTTAAATTCCGCGGACCACTAATATGATCTGCCTAATGACTGCCTGGGTGGGCGTGGCTAGGTGGTCATGGCCAACTCGATGTCACTCACATCAAGGGGTGCCTCACCAGCCTCTACTCGACCCACCCCTCCCACCCACTCATCACCTGCCTGCCCGGGCTCCTTAGGGCCCCAATAGGAAACAGTTGTTGAGCTAAGCAGTCACCATGAGAAAGAGTTGGCAAAAGAGTTGGCTCAGTTCAAACTGGATCTGACTAAGAAGGAGGCTCAGCAGAAGCACCTCACTGAGGACTACGAGCATAGGCTTTCCAAGCAGAGGGAAGACCTGAAGGAGTGCAAGACCAGGTACTGGCGCCTGGAGGCTCAGTGGGATGAGATGGTCAGCCAGTTCCAGGCCATGAGTCAGTCCCACTGGAACAAGGCCCTCCGGCTCTTTGCCACTAGCGGTGCTTCCCTCCAGCCTTCTCCCAAAGCTCCGCACCAGGAGGCTGAAGCAGACCCCAAGTCGGAATTTCTGCCCCCCTCCGACCCACACAAAAAGACCCCGAAGAGGGAGACTCTGCAGCAACACAAGCGTTCATTGCACATATCCGGGCCAGGGGGCATAATTTGAGGACCCCTGATTTAGTGTAATATAAACAATGCAAATATTTTTTCTATGGACCACCAAAATTTTATCACGGACCACCAGTGATAACTGCTGCTTTAAATTGCTCCAGTTGGTGACTGCTGCTTTAAATTGAATCTCTAAATTGAATAGGAGATTCCATAAATTGATTCAGAGTTGGATTCCTTTCTAGTTCTGAATCGATTCCATTTTTACAGCTTCTCTCAATCGCATAGCAAGGGAATGCAAAGATGGGTCTCTGACACAGAGATCCTTTGTTTTGTTGCTTAGGGCTGGGTTGGTAGGAAGGACTTGCTGCTTCATTGATGTGTTCGGTTCAGGGTGCAAAAGTGATTGTATCTCAGGACTGGTTGGTTTGGGGTTGACTGGATCCTCTGACTGCCTAGGCCACGGGTCTGCAACCTGCAGCTCTGGAGCCGCATGTGGCTCCTTCAACCCTCTGCTGCGACTCCCTGTCACTCAAAATATGTGTCACAAGTGCCAAAGTGCGACACCTGCCGGCACGTGATTTATTGAGCTTTTCGGCCCATCTTTTTTTTTCAGAGTTCAAAATGTTTTTGTTGCATGCAGAAATAAAAATGTGTTTTCTCTGTAGCAGGTCATTGATTTCATAAATGCAACAACACACTATAGTTATTTTTATATACATAGCATAAAGGTAAAAAATCAGGGGTGAAATCCAGCAAGTTCTCACAGGTTCTGGAGAACCGGTAGTGGAAATTTTGAGCAGTTCGGAGAACCGTTAGAGGAAATTTTGAGTTGTTCAGAGAACTGGCAAATACCACCTCTGGCTGGCCCCAGAGTGGGATGGGAATGGAGATTTTGTAATATCCTTCCCCTGGAATAGGGTGGGAATGAAAGTTTTGCAGTATCCTTCCCCTGCCACACCCACCAAGCCACACCCACCAAGCTACACCATGCCCACCAAGCCATGCCCACAGAACTGTTAGTAAAAAAAATTTGGATTTCCCCACCGTAAAAAGTGATATATGCAGTGTTATCTTCATTATAGATGTCAAAAGGATTTTGTGGCTCCCTGTGTTTTCTTTTCTGTGGGAAATGGGTCCAAATGGCTCTTTGAGTGTTTAAGGTTGCCGACCCCTGGCCTAGGAGCAGATCAACAGCCTGTAGTTCTGTTACCAGTTTCCCTACCTTTTCTTTGCTCAGCAGGCCCGGAAAAGAACTTTGTCCATCAAAGTCAAGTCAAAATTATGTGGTTTTCTGCATCACCCACTTGTTACTGAACAAGAAAGTAAACATCATCTGTTTTCACATGCAGAATGGTATAAGCTCCATTTCAGCATACATGAGAACTGTATAAATGTAAATCCTACTCACTAAAAGGTTTTGAGGTGAGAACAAGCCTTGTGTTGAGATAACTATTCATTTCACACAAAGGAAAACAAATGTATTTATTCTCTAACCGTTTCTTAGAATCATTATTTATTTATTTATTTATTTGTTTGTTTGTTTGTTTATCAATCATATATAAGTTAACAGATAAAAGTATAAACATGATTATGAATACATGAAATGGATACAAATAAAAAGGGACATTAGGACAGGGATGGTAGGCACATTGGTGTGCTTATGCATGCCCCTTACAGACCTTTTAGGAATGGGGTGAGGTCAACGATAGACAGTTTAAGGTTAAAGTTTTGAGGGCTTGGGGAAGAAACCACAGAGTTAGGTAGCGCATTCCAAGCATTGACCACCCCTGTTGCTGAAGTCATATTTTCTGCAATCGAGTTTGGAGCGGTTTACCTTGAGTCTGTATCTATTGTGTGCTCGTGTATTGTTGTGGTTGAAGCTGAAGTAGCCATTGACAGGACATTGTAGCAGATAATTTTATGTACTACACTTAGGTCAGACCAAAGGCAGCGTAGTTCTAAATTGTCTAAGCCCAAAATTTCAAGGTATTTTGTTGCGAGCAGAGAAGTGGAGGACTCTTTTCGTGAAATACCTCTGGACTCTCTCAATTGTATTAATATCCAGTTTGCAGTGCGGGTTCCAGACAGATGAGCTGTATTCGAGAATTGGTCTAGCAAATGTTTTGTATGCACTGGTTAGTAGTACAATTTTACCAGAGAAGAAGCTACGCAAGAGTAGGTTAACAACTCTTAATGTCTTTTGGGGTTTTAAAAGGGTGGGTCATATCTTTGTGGATCATCAGATAATTTGGTAATCTCGACTAATCAGATTTTATCCCTTTCCACCCTTGTTCCTGTAGTTCTTCCGAGCCACACGTGTGGAAATCCAGGAAGGCTTCAGAATGGAATCCAGCAAGGCACAACATTCAGCGTGGGAGACAAAGTGCGTTACAGCTGCAACCCTGGTTTCTTTTTGGAGGGGCACGCATTGCTCACTTGCCACGAGACCATGGAAAATACCGCATCCTGGGATTTCCCTCTGCCCTTCTGTCGTGGTAGGTGTTCTTCAATTGTCTTTTATCTTGGATTTTCTTAATATATGCCAGTGATGGAGAACCTTTTCAGCACTGAGTGCACGCATGTGCTCATCAGGGCCACGACCAGGTACTTCCGGTTTCCGGGGTGCACATGCCCACCGGCCAGCAATTCTTCTGATTAGTGCCGCGCATGCACATGTGCCAATCAGCTGGCCAGCGCACATGTTCACACTGGAAAATGGAAGACCAGCCGTTCCGGTTTCCGGCACTGCCTCATGCACAAAGACCAGCTGATTGTTGTGTGCGCATGTGTGCCAGAAACCCGGAAGAGGAATGGGCAATGCTCCGTGTGCCAGGCAACATGACTCCGCATGCCACTTTGGGCACGTGTGCCATAGGTTTGCCATCACAGATATATGCCATAAGTGTTGGTCAGGGCTGGAAATGACTTAGCAAGAATTATCTAGATTAAAGTCAAATCCTAACGTAAGAGTTTGGAGTTCTGTAACAGTCTACATTCTGTGCAAAGGGGTAGCTGAATTATGTATCTGCATATATTATCCAACAGAGCTGACTTGCATATTTTATTAAGCATAATTCATCTACTTTATGCTAATATACACATACAGTGGGAGTCAGGTTATGCTTTGAACCTCTGGAGACGCTATTCATCTATCCTATTCACTTTTGTAATTTCAGCAAGCATGTACTTTTAAATATATATTGGCAGCCATAAGAGCCAAGAACGTTTTTTTTAAAAAAAATCAGAGTTAAGGTTATTAGGAAACTGAATAATATATAATTTCCCCCTTGAAGCCCCACAGAATTGCGCCACATGCATTATCTAATCTAGCATAATAATGGGCAGGCTTGAATATGATTTTCTTCCGTCTGTTTCCACTTTGGTTATGTGTGTACAGAAAGGCCACTCGATTCCCTGTCATTCTAATCATTCTACATGGGATTAACCAGCCGGTTAATACACAGAAGCTTTTACATTATTTTATCATGATATCCGTTCTTCCTGTTCTCTCATCTTTTCCCTCCCTCATATATCCCCAGTGTCCTTCAGCACAGTATCTTGTATTGATTTTTTTTTTTTATTGAGCCTTTGAGCATGTAATCAATTAGCAATCCTGGGATGGAGCATTGATCTTGCATTTAAATTGAGTCAAGGTGGTTTGCGAACTGATAAGATAATTCTTGGTGCTTTCCTAAATAAACAGCATAGCTGGTGTGTGTATGTGTGTATGTGTGTGTGCCTGCACAGACATCCACATGCAGGCCTTCAAGTCAATGTTGACTCTTTAGGGGCTGCCAGGACCAGATCCTGAAGTTTTCTTGGCAAGATTTCCAGAAGTGGTTTGCACTTGCCTTCTTCCTAGGGCTGAGAGAGCGGGAGTGGCCCACGGTCACTTTGTATCCATAGCATTCACATCAGGGGTGAAATCCAGCAGGTTCTGACAGGTTCTGGAGAACCAGTAGTGGAAATTTTGAGTAGTTTGGAGAACCGGCAAATACCACCTCTGGCTGGCCCCAGAGTGGGGTGGGAATGGAGATTTTGCTATATTCTTCCCCCAGAACTGGGGAGGGAATGGGGATTTTGCAATATCCTTCCCCTGCCACGCCCACCAAGCCATGCCCACAGAGCCTGTAGGGAAAAATTTTGGATTTCACCCCTGAGAAAGCTATTAGGTGCCAGCAAAGAGATATACCAAAAATTCTCACTGTGTGCTGCCATCTAGTTATTATCCAGATTTTTACAGCTCAGATATGGTATCCCTAGTCTACAGTCAGAGAAAGAGCATAAGTAGGACATCTAGGAGAACTATGTTGGGTAGGTCCATCCCTGTGAGCAGACATGAAGATTACTTAGAGCAGTATCCCCCAACCTTTTAGGCACCAGGTACCAGTTCCATGAGGAAAAGTTTTTCCGTAGACTGGAGGAGGCATGGTTTTGTGTGCTACCTGCATCGCACGGATGGGGCTTTGCTTATTTGTGCAGCCCGGTTTCTGGCATGCTGCGGCCCAGTGCCAGTCTATGGACCGGGGGTTGGGGACCCCTTAGAGAACATGGAGCTGTCCACTAGGCCAGTGAGTGGAAGCAGGATCCACAAATGCCAGGCCACTCAGTGTAGATTCAGTTGTGATTAGATCCCAAGGGAAGGTTACACAAATAACCTTAAAATAACCTTTCTCCGGAGAAAGGCGGCATATAAATTGAACTAACTAACTAACTAAATGAATGAATGAATTAACTCTCTGGCATATTTACAGTTTGGCAGTATAGATAGTCAGGGATGCTTATGCAATATCCTTCCCCTGCCAAGCCCACCAAGCCACGCTCACAGAACCGGTAGTAAAAAATTTGGATTTCACCACTGATTCACAGTCTTCCGATTTCTAGCCTTATGGATTACATATTTATCCTGCATTTATCTGTTGCTTCTGTTACGGTCCTGGGAGTTTGACAACACTGACATTGTACCAGTGAAGGAGCCTCCGACTCTCCATTTTTCATCCTTTACATTAGCATCATCATTCTTGACTTCTTGCTGAGTTGGGGGGTTCCGCTGAAGAACTTTTTGTTTTAACTTGTGCTATATAAAATAATCTTGATATTGCATCATGCTGATTTATATTTTGTACAGGATTGCGGTTGGGGGAGTTGCACTTATGCAACCTTGGTGCATTTGGGACTAAACCAAGCTACCTTGCTAGTTTTTGTTAATGCTCTTTAGAGGCCTAGAGGCAATGAAACAGAATCCACTCTCTGAAAAGAATATACTTAGCTGGGCAGATTTGTCCTTGATATATTTTGCCTTTTGCTTTTAATGTTCAAATGTTTGGAATGTCTTTAAAGATACCATATTTTGTTAATTACTTTTAAAAATATTTCAATATATGTTCTTAGGGAGGTTATTATGTCCTTTCAAACTTCAATCCCAGGTACCATACTTTTTGGAGTATAAGACACACCCTTTCCCCCAAAAAAGAGGGTGAAAATCTGAGCGTGTCTTATACTCTGAATGTAGCCCCACCCAGCTTCTCAAATGGAGGTTTCAGAGGCTGAAAAAAGCATCAGAAAAGAAGTTTCAGAAAAGAAGCCTCCAAACAGAGTTTCAGAGGCTTTTTTTCTGAAGCTCTGTTTCGGAGGCTTTCAGAGGTAGAAAAAAAAGCAAAGCACAGAGCTCAAAACCAAGGAACCTGTTGCTAAAATTCCCCTGTGGGAACAGCTGATTGGGGGTATTCCGGGAGGCCAATCCACCTGCCAATCAGCTTTTTTCTTATTTTCCTCCCCAAAAACTAAGGTGCGTCTTATACTCCGAAAAATACGGTACTTATTTGAGCAGAACAGTAGAGTATAAATCAAATAAATAAAGATATTGGATTATAAACCATGTTTCTCAGTTCTAAGCTGCAATTAATCAAATCACATTTGTCTTTATTTGTTTAGTTTGTGTGTGTGTGTGTGTGTGTGCGCTCACCTTTGAATCAGGGTTAATTGCTGGTGACTGTTCTGAAAAGTCTCTGCAGTTTTATTGGCAAGATTTTCAAAAGCAAGGGCTTTTTCAATGCCACAGGAAAAATAAGTAATAAAGATTAGACCACTTGAAAAGAAAATGAGTAAAAATTGTAAAATATAAGAAAGGTTTGGGCCCACATGGTAATAATTTTGTTCCAAAAATATTAAGAAAATTAATTTTCTTTGCCCATAATGACCTCTTTTGTTCTCTACTAAAACATTTAAGGTGCCGGTAATACAACATATTGGATTCATCCTACTAACTAGCTGAATACCGTACTCCGCTACGAAACTAGGTGATCGGGCTTGATAAATTGACACTTAGAGTTTAAAAATTAATGAGTAATTATGATCGACCTCTCCTCTCCCCTTCTCTCCCTCAGGCTTGCCCCACAGAAGCCTCTCTTCTCTATCCCCTTCTCTCCCTCAGGCTTGCCCCATAGATCCTCTCCTCTCCCCTTCTCTTCCTCAGACTTGGCCTCATAGATCATCTCCTCTCCCCTTCTCTCCCTCAGGCTTGCCCCACAGAAACCTATCCTATCCTCTCCCCTTCTCTCCCTCAGGCTTTCTAGCCCCTTCTCTCCTATGAGCTTGCCCCACAGAATCCTCCCCTATCTGTCCCCTTCTCTCCCTCAGCCTTGCCTCACAGAAACGCCTCCTATCTATCCCCTTCTCTCCCTCAGGCTTTCTAGCCCCTTCTCTCCATGAGCTTGCCGCACAGAAGCCTGTGCTATGCTATCCCCTTCTCTCCCTCAGCCTTACCACATGAATCCTCCCTATTCTATCCCCTTCTCTCCCTCAGGCTTTCTAGCCCCTTCTCTCCCTCAGCCTTGCCTCACAGAAGCCTCTCCTATCCTATCCCCTTCTCTCCAATTATTTTCAGATTGGGAGGGGGAGTAGAACGTCTAACTAATTAGCATCAGAGCGTGTTATAATGATACAAGAAATACTAATGCTCTGATGGTCATTTCGAAAAATCTCTTCTTAGTGAGCACCTAGAAGCCAAGAGGAACATACGTGGCAAATTTCAAGTTTGTAGGCTTTACGGTTCTGGAGATTTTGTGATTAATGTGTGAGTGGTTTTCACACACACACACACACACACACACATGTTTTCATATATATATATATATATTCAGAATCTGTTTTATTTATTATGATGGAATTTCAGCCTTCTGAGATTTTTACATCGTATCTTGAAGCTTACTTTTATTTCTTTAGTTTGTAATTTCATTTCTGTCGCTACCCACTCATATTCAACTCAACTTAGTACACTGGCTGAACTCATCTGTCATACCATAGTGTGATGTGTAAGCCCAACCCACAGTGTAGTATTTAAGTAGAGACTAAAATAAATTGACCCTAATGTACTGCCAGGAATTCAGCTAATTCCCAAAAGGCTACACTTCTCAGCATTACAGCCCAATTTGTGTGGGAAAAGTGAGAGGACAAAGTGGTCTGTACACCTCCTCAAGCTCTAAAGGAAATATGT